AGGAGGGGGAAGGAGCTTCTAACGCAGCTTTTTCTTCCTCAGACCTTGAGGAAGAAAGCGTTCCTGCCGCCAAGTTACAATGCGTGAAAATACAGGGTTTGGTCGGTTTGGGGGGGATTTGTGTTTTTCTTTGGGGATTTTTTGGGGGTGGGTTTTATTTTTGTTTAGGGGTTTATTGGTTTTTTTGTTTGGGGGTTTTGTTTGCTTGTTTGGTGGGGTTTTATTTTCTTTGGGGTTTTTTATTCTACTTAACATAAAATTGACAAAAATCTGTGGCTCTTCATCTTATTTATAGATGACATCTATATATATAGATATAGACATACAGTATTGTCTATGTAGATAGATATATAGGCATATAGTAGTATCTGTATACATATTGTCTATATAGATATATAGACATATAGTAGTGTCTATATAGTATTGTCTGTAGATAGATATATAGGCATATAGTATTGTCTATATATATACATATATTCATTGAGCTGTCCTAAGAATGATGGAGCAGAGCAGGAAATCACTACATTCAAGTTAATAAAGATGTTTGCCCTAAAACAAACCCAAACAGGACATACTAAAAATGTAGTGATGTGGAATGAGACTCAAGTACTTGGCGGTGGAAGAGCTGTGATGTGCCACACACTCTTCCATCACAAATGAAAGAATTTGTCCTAGTGCACACCTGAGCAAAGAGTGTGGAACTGGAGGGAATTTGTGCAGCTCAAACTAGCAAGGGCAATTCTGAAGGCCTGTGAAAATGTCAACTGGCAGCAACAGCAGAGAAAGAACTGCCTCTAAAGAAATGTTACTGGGAGTTTTGTACTGCCTGATCCATTTCATACTGACTTGTTTAATCCTCCTTGGTGCCTTCCCAGCTCTCCTACATGACTTAACTCCTCCATTTCTTGGTCCCATTTTCATTGTTATCTAAAGGAGACAACCACTTCCAAAATCCCAACAGGGTGAAATTACTTTCCAGGTATTTCCCCTCATGAAATACACCTTTGGAACTCAAGTCTCTTCCTCTCCTGCCCCACCATTATAAATGCAATATTATGTGCAGTGGGATGACTTGCAGTGATGGAGAATCCCTTCCAGGGTGTGGAACACGTGCATTTAGAATGCACCTGCAAGAAACACCTCATCCCATGTAAACTGCTGCTGTGCTACAGCTGGTAACTAATTATAGGATGATGCTCTCTACAATGTGTGTGTCAAGATCACCATCAATATGATCATCAAAATACAAGAAAAAATCATGTTTTAGCCTGGATTTGTAACTCTCTTTGTCCAGGAACCAATTAGTCTGCCAGCTTCCAGTTAGGGGAGGAGAAGGAAGGGTATCATAATTTATTTCCATCATGGGAAGAGCAAGATTCACAAAGGGATACAAGGTGTGCCCTTCGGTAAGTCAGTCATTCTAAAATGGTACCTGTGTGAGGAACTGACTCGCATCACTCCCGTGCTGGACATGTAGGAATATGGAGTTTCCCATCTTTCTGATGCATGCTAAATATATCAAAGTAAGCTGTAAATGTGATTTTCTCTTCCAAGTATGTGTCAAAGGCAGCTACACTACGTTTGCTCTGTAAATTCAAGTGCTGCTTTATTTACTTATTTGACTTCCATTTTACTTATTTAGAACAATTTCCATATGGTGACATGCCTTTAATGAAACTCATGACTCAGAAATACTTGTCAATGTAGTCAAACAACATCTATTGACATGAGTCACTTCACTTAAATAAATGTCACTAAAAATGAGACAAAACAAAAGGCAAATATATATATCTCCAGCAGAATGATAGGGATCATCACCATTTGATCAATCTTCCCTGTGAGTTATATCTGCAAGTTACTTTGAGGTAGCGCTAGAAAGAAGCTGTTGGTCCAAGAGCATCCCTGCAAAAAGAAACATTCATGGCTTAAGTACCATTTAACCTCTTTGTACCCTTTAAAGTACTCTTCACCCTTTTTTAGCCTGTTTCTTTCTCCCTCTTCACTGACTGCAGGATCAGTAGCCCCTCAAACCATGGTACTAAAGCTTTTCTGTTCAGAGAAGTGATAGAAAACAAAACCATTACTCTTCTTCAAGAAATTAGTGGGTTTTAAGTAAAGGCACTATCTATTCACAGCTAGGTGTGATGAAGATGTTATAAAACCAATACTAGATATTCTTGGGGAAAAAAAACAACAACAAAACCACTTCAGACTTAAAAAGAGAAAACCACAACATTTCAGCTGGGTAAAACATAGACAAAACACAAATGGACAAAGTGACATAGTGTGGTGTCAAAAAAGTTGCTTCCGATACTTCTTTTGTTTAAAAAATGCTTTTACTGTAATCAGATCTGCGTAGAACTGACAGCAGACAGTATTATGTATGTGTTCAGGCCTTAGAACAAGCTAGCTAATACAGGCAGGTACTTGTACCAGAGCTGTAAGTTTAATCAGTTAAAGAAGTCTCAGCAATGCATTCCGAGAGGTGTGATGTGCTCGCTTTCTTCTGTATTTGAGGCTCACACCAATGCAACAAGTTTTTTCAGTATGCCTTTACAAGTAAAGAACATGTGCTGAACACAGCATCTTGATCCCATATATGCACTCCTAACTGGAAAGCAAGATAGGCTAGTAAGGCTCAGGAGAAGTAAAAGAAGTCAGACAGCTATTTTAGAATGATCACATTGGCTGCAACCAGCAGACTCCCTTCCTCGCCTCACTTTTCATGAATGTTGACTGGAAGAAAACATTTCCCAACATTTCTCAGAACTACTGGCCCAAACAACCTCTTGCACTGCATTTCATACGCAGCATTTTCACTATTTGGGTACTTTACAGCCCAGAACAGAAGGTGCACCCATGTCTGAAAACAGCGCCGAATGCAGCACATAGAGGCCTTGTTAACACATAAAACCTGCACACGTATAGTGGCTGCAGACTGACTGCAACGTTTAGGTGCTGTGGTGATACAGTGTCGAGCTCAGTGAACTCACACAGCTCCAGGGCCCCTCATTACACAGTTCAAACGTAGAAGAACCTCCCAAATGCCAAAAAAACCCAGCAAATACTCCATAGTGTTTCTACCAAGCCAACACACATCCTTAGCATCACATTTTAAACTGATAACACAATAAAAGGTTTCCACTAATTACTTGCTGCAACAAGTGTTAGGTAATGCTATGTAAAGCAGGATATGCACTTCAAAGCAGGGTATGAGCCAGGCACAGACCTGGAAGCTGCCTTGCCTGCTTGTGGTAATGGTGCTTGCCAGGCAAAATCCTTTGCTCATGACTAGTTTGTACTACCAAACTCAAGCACCACAACAATGCACTACAACTGAAGTGGCATTAAATCTGGTGTGGTTTTGAAGCTTTAACACCCTCATCCAAATTCCAGCGGTCTGCATCTACAACCTGGAGTTTCCTCCCTTCTAATGTCCCCTGGGACAATTCTATACATGCACACAGGGAACCCCTTTCCCACTCAGATTCTCTCTGCTTCATTCATTCTACTTCCTGTCCCACTCTTATTGATAACCTCCCTACCATCACCCTCCAAAGACTGATCAGTTAACAGAAGGGAAGCATTCACCCAAGAAATCCCAGTTTCCAGCCACCTTGCAAACAGTTCTCTGCAAAGCAGGGAAACAGATGATAAAACTGCGATGCTACTCTCCCTGCCTAAATGAGGGGGTTTTCTGCTTTCTCTCTTCCTACATATACATCCACATATAATCCAGGAAGAATGAACTTCCTATAGCACTCCAAAAGCCTCTTCTGTTTTAACATCTGCATTTCATGGGTGGAACTTCGGAAAAACTCCTAGCTGAAATTAAACTATGAAAAGAGGGAGATTCTGGTCAGCAGCTAGCAGTGACCTGCCATGCCAAGTGATCACTCTGCAATGCAGTATTAGTTTCACATTTAGTAACAGCATACAGGGGATGACCACCACTTTCTTGTCATTAAGTACCTTCTAAAATGTCAGAACTTTATTCATATCTGCCATCTGAGCAATTATGGTTTAGACTGCCCTCAAAACACACACAGCAGTACCAAGGTGTTTCAAGTAGCTTTAGTTTTACCTATGATAGATTTGTTTCTAGCCTGAACTCCTTTTATCATGTACATTAAGTAGTAAGTACTTTTGCATACACAGGGGCTTAAGCTGTCCCTGTGACTGGGAAATACTTCATACCCTTCCAGGTAAGAACAGTTTAGAGGAAGCCACTCAGAAGTCACTACCTTATAGCAGAACTTTCTTCACTGCCACCTCCCCTGATCGCCTTTGACTTCAATACACTAAAAATTTCTTCAAGTGTATTCATTTCAGCAACACTGCCATACCACTGCAATTGTATAACCTCAGCCCTATGAAACATCTGAGCATGAAGACTGAACGTATCACAGATGTTTAGGATAGGGTACAACTTAGCTGAAAAGCTGTTACTAGGGGTTTTTTTTAATTCCCAATGGGTTATTTTTCCTCCATTAAACCACAAAGTCTTCTCCAAGGATTTTTAGGGTTAAGAACATTATGTTATACCAGTTTCTTTGCTGTAAAGTGTCAGTGGAGAGAACTAACAACAGGAAAGGCAGAAATAAAATTACCAGCAGGGATCATCCTTAGTCTTTGGAATGTTTGTAGCTATGGTGTCTGAAAGTTTGCCCTTCTGTATGTTAAAGCTGTACAGATAAAGCACTTCTAACTGACTGAGCACATCAACAGCTGTACAGTTAGCACCAAACTGCCAAAGAGAGTGGGCCCTGGTGTTCCCAGAGCAAACCCTGGGAGTGTCTCCCAAACGCACACATCTAAGCAAGTGGGTTAAGAGCTCATAAAAGATTGTCTAGGTAACTTGGAAGTATGTGAGAGCTAGTTCCTGCTAGTCCTGATGCCATACCAAAGACAGATGAAACACCCCGACTGCCTCCAGCTAAATTCCACAAGCCAGAAGAGAATGTGTTTCACGTATGTAAGTAAAATCCCTTGCTGGCAACTTTGCAGAAACAAAATTTTATTTACACAGGCAAGTCTATCTTTAGACCCCATCAAACTCTTTACATTTCTAGAATATTTACATGATTTCAAGATGCTCCAAGTGATGAACAAAAAAAAATTACAGAAACTGTCAAAAGCATAGCAAAAAAACCCCACCTATCATTGTGCTTTAAAACTTATGATCTAGAGTAATGTAGAAGAAATGTAATTTTAGCACCTTGGTCATAACGGTCATGCTATATAAGACACTTAAATAGCAGGGGGGATGTCAGAAGTGACCGTATCCAGAGGTTGCCAGTGACAATTCATGAGGGCATCATAGAGTTCTTCACTTGTCTCCATAAATTGTCTGTTCATTTCATCAACATCCAAGTACAGCTGCGGATCTGAAAAGGAAAGCCTGGTCAGTACAAGTGTCAGACCTTGGGAGGCATGCACACAAAACCCCAAAGGAAATGCCTAATAAAATGTATTTTAGCTCTATTTCATAATTTAGTAGATTTACTAGTAAATGTAAGATGTTTATTCACTTAAATTTTTCACAAACCTAAGAAGTCCAGCTTCTTTTAGCATTTGTGTATTACAACGCTAGGACTATATTGATATTTCTATATAAAGAGCAGATTTAAGGACAATTAAACATGAAAATCCACTAAAATCCATTTAAATAATTTCTACCACAACATCTTAGGCAGAATAGGTTTCTGAACACTAAACACAGGATGTGTCTATGCAAGGAACTGTTTACAAACCTTCTGGGCCAAACAATTTCTGTACTAAAGCCTTAAGTGCAAGCTGAATCCTCCTTTTAAGATCTGCAAGATAAGCTTTTTCCTCAGGGTTTGGAAAACAAACCTTTTGTCTATTAATGGCTTGTACAATAATCTTAGCAGAATCAATACAAAGATATGGTAAATTCTCCAATGGATCATTTTGGAAGGAGAATGAAGGCAAAGTCATAAGAAACCTGCTGTGAAGTGTTGTTGACTATGTCCCCCTGTACTTCACATGGTGTACACTATTAGCTTTAAAATCCTACCTCATCTCAGCTACAACCCATAGAGGATCCTACTACACCAGCTGAATTTCCAAGACATTCTTCATCCATTAGTCACTGGTATCTATTGTTAAGGGGCAAAAATACGACTAAATTCAAGTTGCAGTGACAGAATTACCATTACCTTCAGTTATTAGGTCATCGTTGATTTCAGTCATAGCTGAAGCCTCCTAAAAAAATATAATCATAATACATTTCAGAACACATCAAAATTTCATACTCCCAAAACCACTCCTTCCTCCTACAGCTACACAACTACAAAATAGCCAGGGGGAGGTGGTGTTTGCTGGGGAGGCTTTTTTTTGTAGAGTGTTCATTGTTGGTTTTTAGTGGTTTGGTTTTGGAGTTGCTTTTTTGTTCTGTCATTTGTTTGGGGGGGGTTTTTTTGCTGTTCTGGTTGGTTGGGGGCTTTTCTATTTAAGAAAACCATGGTATAATTGAGGTTGGAAGTGACCTCTGGCAGTTGTAATTGATAAATTGGCTGATCTAGGCAAGATCATCTTACAATAATTCTTTAATTCGCTTTAAGTAAACTACCTCAAAAACAGAAAGAAAGCCTATACAATTACACTGTCAGAACTGTTATTTGGCATACATGAACAAACAGTGGTGTTCAAGTATCTAATTCTACAGATGCACTACTTAAGCACTGGAATCAAAGACACCTCTCAATGATGCTTTACTAATCCAATCTCCATACTAAGCTGAACACACAATTTCAGTTTCAGGGCTTATTTTTGCTCTTATACAATACATACAACTCATTATTTGTGAATTTTTTTTTTAAACCACATGTCTAGCATCTTTACCTCAAAAACAGCTGGAGCCATAACAGCATCTCCTAAAGAGCAGTCTCCAACAGCTTGCATGCTCTCATAGGGAGTATAGGAGCTGTAGTTGTAGTCAGCATAAGGATCATAATTCCACTGTGAGTAGTAGTTCTGATAATCTTGGTAGTAATCATTATAGTTGTATGACTGGTACCGCTGGAATTCTGCTTTCAGTCTGAAACATGAGAAGTTATATACAGTTAGTGCTGAAGAAAAAAACCTGAAACCCCAGTGTTTAGAACTTAAACAACTGGCCACAGTTCATGCATTTCCAAGTCTAAAAGAAAATCTTCTAAATACTCGCCTAAGCAACAGCGTTAAAACACAGCACAATATCTCTTCTTTATACAGAAGCAAATGCTCTTACCTTCACCAGTAACAAAAGTAATTATTTCTATGGATTAACTCACATTTATCTGTATTCATTCTGAGTACTTTTAGGATCCATATAAGCAAGCTGCTGATAAAAAATGATTTATTAAGACATTTATCAAGCACAGCTGCTTTAAAGAAGCAGTCTTAATTAGCCCTTTCACCTTTTGTTTGGTTAATGCCAAATCTTATTATTTCCAGAAATAGGAGGTGAAGTAAGACTATCCATTTCAAAGGAGCATTTGACACAGCTTGCCAATTCACCGTGTCTACCTATACCTGCTCCGTTTTTAGTCCATGAACAGTTGCTGAAGCATAGCTGTCAAGTGAAGTCAGCACCGCCATTATCCAGAATGAAGCCAAGGCAGCAGGAAATTGACAAAACTCACTGGTTCTGAAGACCAAAAGGCCACGTGATTCATTTATACTACCTTCCCTCCCAGAGGGGATTTTTCTTAGGGAAAACTTCACACACTAGTAACAAATATCACCGCACAAGTACTGTCTATACTAAAACAGAGATACACTAAAAACATCTGGATAAACCAGCTGTACACTTCAAGACATCCCCTATGCTTAGTTATTTCTTCCCTGATGTACAAGCAAACCTCCTGTGTTGGCAGAGTCCAATTTCTTTGCATCTCCACTTTGCTACAGAAAATTCAAATCTAGACATTTTGCCAAGAACACAAAGTGAAGAGCTCAGAAATAGTTTCCAACCTAAGCAACTTAATGACAAACTACTGCAATGGCTGGGTATTTTGAGGCCAGGAGAGCATGGTACTCAGCCATTCAGAAACAGATGAGTGATATGCATTTTGAATCATCACATCCACTTTTTTCATTACTGTGAAGCTGCACATACATTCCAATACACAGGTATTCTGTCTTACTACTGTAGTAAACTACATAATGTCCCAAAGTCTTCTTCCAACTTCTTACTCCCATCTCTGTAGGAAAGAAAAATCTGAAAATACTGCTGACATTCTTCTGGACAGCAGAAGCAAGGAAACCTGTTTCTTTGGAGTCTCTTCTTATTCCCAAAGCAACTTAGTGAAAGCAATTCTTGACAGTGCTCTTTTATAAGAGCATTTCTGTTCTGATGTGACAAAGCTACATTTGCACAATTATCCAGGGTAAGAGAAACAAAAGCTGTTGCTTTTAGTCTTCTAGCAGAACACACCATCTAACCTCAGGAATATATACTGAAATTGTTTTAGATGAAGCTCTATTTTTGCCTGTATACTGGATCAAAGTTTATCAAATTTGGTATCAAGTCTCTAACTGAATTGTCTTTAACAGCTGACTAAAAACTGAGGTGGCAGAGTGAAAAAACCCTCTCAAAACCAATCAGCTTTAAACTTCCTGCTGCCCTTATCACTTGAAAAGCAAAGACCAGAGTTCTAAACAAACTGTTCCAACAACATCTCCCTTGGCTGCTTTGGTATTTTTCACTAAAGAGTTCCTTCCTCTGGCAGCCTACTTTAAAACTTGCAATGCACTACCTTGCCTAAGATACAGGAAAAGGTCTAGGAAAAATGCTTCCTAGCATAAAAAAAACACTTGTTGTCCCTTCTACTTTCTTCAGGCTCAAACTTGAAAAATACTTACAAATGCATTCAGCTTTGCTACTGTAAGAATTAAGCTTGGTTACAACAGTAGCTAAGTCCAAGTTATACAATCTAGCTGAACTTCAGAGTTGGATTCCCCCAGCAATCCTGAAAGAGGTTGATGAATCCAGGTAATCAAAAACAATGCTTCCATGACTTTTGGTTTTGTAGACTGCATTGTGTGTACACCAAGGGCCACAGTCTTTACAAAGGCAGAGCTAAAAGAATCTGATTATTCAGAATTACTGTATCAAATGCACAACTCGTTTATTACCTTTTAGAAATTCCTATGCTCAGCCGGATTCGTTTTCCCCCCAGACCTGGTGCATTCTGGCAGTCTTGCAGTGCCCTCATCTGATCACCTTGCTCACCAAATCTGACAAAGGCATACCCTCTACAATTTTCAAAAGGGAGAAAACAAATTCTAGTATTCATAACAATTACAAAGCTAATGAATTCAATTTCTGTCTTCACAAAAACAGAAAAGAGTAGCTACTGCAGCTTCTATTACCTAAGCAACCTCTCTGGCATGTGCACATGCACAGAAGATGCTTTCACAAAATTAAAACCCTGGGCCAGAAGCAAAAAGCTTTTTGAGAGCATTATGATACAACTTGCTGAAAGCCAATGAAACAATACACATTAACTGCTATCTGTGTAAGTAACCAGATTGCGTATTTCTGCACTTAAAGCTGTTAACTAATCAGTTGGTATTAACCCACTCCTAACGCTGTACAGCTCTAACATTCCTTTTAGATTTGCTTTCTCAGACTTCCCCCCCCCCCCCAAGTTTCTTGAATTAGTCCACTACAGCCCATGTTGTCTCAACAACAAACTCACTCATCCCTGCTGGACTCACTGCCTGGCCAGTGTAACTTCTGCTAAGATTTATTTGCTAAAGCTAAAGGTCAGTCTCCCAACCCCCTAAGATTTGCCAGGCCTTACACTCTTCTCTCACACAGAACAACTTAGTATTTTTCTCTTCAACACTGCTGCAGGTAAGCACAGCAGTGCAGATGTCCATGCAGAGCTCTCCCTTCTCCCACCATCTAATTTCTTCCATGCAGATATGTATATGGCTAAATTGAAGCTTATCATGTTAATTGCTTAAACTAACCATATAAGTTTTAGAAACACAAGGATATATGCTGTTAAAACAAATGCTATAGACTAACCTCTCTTCCTGCCACTGAAGCAAATGCAGAAGAAGAGTCTTGATGCAAGTTCTTATGCATTACTTATAGAAGAAAAACCTACTGACAACGTTAGCACATTTTCACAGGCATTACCTGGAATATCCCAGCAGGTCTGTTGCTATTTTGCAGTCAATACATGAGGGGTACCTCTTTAGGAAATAGTCATAGAGCTGGAAATCATCCACTTCTGGAGTAAGCTCCCCAACAAATATTGAATAATCTGGTCTTTAAAAGATAAGAGAACCATTGTCACATTTGAGACTACTCTAACTCATTGCAGTATTAGAGTACCTAACTTATGTGCCGGTAGTTATTCAGTGGACAAACAAGGAAGCAAAAATCTGAGGAGAGGATTAAATCCAAGACTCTGCTGAGCAATGTACAAAACTGCAATGCTACCACTCCAGCAGAAAGTTCTAGACTTCTCTGGATCCATTCTATCACTTTAGCAAAAGAAAGCATGTCAAAGACCTATTTTTATATAAAAAGATTTTCAGAAGTTGATTTTAAAGAGTAGTATTTGTTGTCTGAAGGGCAGCGGAGGCCCAAAAATACCAAGAAAAACTAGTAAGTTACAGCCATGATTCAAAAGAGCTATCACTATTTTGCCACTTTAAGTTATTATGGGAGAGACAATCTAGAAAAAAAAGCCCCAAAACTTCATTACTCTACTGGCAATACAATTCCATAGGCAGCACTTAAGAGTATAAGCACCAGGTGTGCCACTTCAGAATTCTAGCAGTTAAGTGGTAACATCCACTAATGATTATCAATTTAAACAGATAAGGGAGTGGATCACCTCCTTTCCAGAAGTCTTTACCTGGTTGTATTAGTACTGCTAGGGACAAACTCTATTCTTCCTGGTTTTATTTTGTTCTTTTTCTTCCGTTTCTTCTGTGGTGTTCTCCACCAGCTGTAGGCCTGGAGACATTCTCTTTTTTTCGCCATCAAGTCCTGTTGAGAGAAAAAAAAATCACCTTTATAGTATTTAGCCTCATTTACATTCCTCCCTCCCACTCCCCATCACCACAGGTGATTTCCCCATATTCACCTTGCCCTTGAAAGAAGCCTGGGGTCCCATTTCTCCCTCCGCCTCCCATGAGGGAAAGCAGCCTCTGGGGAAAACGCCTGGCAAAAATAACAGAGCCAAAGGATTGTATGAACAGCCATATTCCCCTGACTTGTCAAGCTGGCTAAAGGATTGACAGCTTCCTCTGGGAACTAGGGAAAAAGCAGACAGCCCTTTGATGCTGGCCAATCCTACATGTCAGTTAGCTTCAGGACTGGACTGTGTTCCACTTGAGCTCCAGGACGAAAAAACACCTGTGGTAACGCAGACTGAATGATGAAGAGGCAGGGGAATCCATCACTCTTGCCTAGAAGGGATCTCAAGCTGTCCCTAACCTTCCCTCACCTAGGAATTCTTCTTCTGTGAGATGCCTCTCCTCACTAGCCAGCAGTGAGTCACTCTCCCAGGCCAGGAACAACGACAAGAGGCCAATAAATAGAATGTAAGGAGAAAGCCAACCACGAACAGGCACTAGCTTGGCTGAGGGAAAACTCAAACCCAGAAGCAAGGCCAGGAAGAAAGAGGCATAAAAAGTGCCTCTTAAAAAGGAAAAAACCACCAAAAAAGATTTTAAAAAAAAAAAGAAAAACACACACCCCAAAAACTACAGTTCAAAAAGGAAGCGGGGCAGCTATGCAAAGAGGAGGGAAAACAACAGCTGCATTAACACAGGCTGCCTCCCTCACTCAAGATTCTGAAGAACAAGGACTTCCAAAAATAAGAATGATGTTCAACAGCTTTTACTTACGCATGCTTTAATGTTCTTCCTCTATAACACCTCTACATGTGTCTGACATAGAGAGTGTTATGCACAAGGTCCTTCAGAAGAACTCATACTGAAGTAATCCAACTGCAAACCTTAGTGTTCTGCCCCCAATCTGCTTCAGTTGATACACTTAAGTGTCCCGAGGACAGCCACCAAATGCCACATTACCAGAAGAAATCACAGGACTAAAAGAACACCCAACTCAGAGCAAGCTAGCTATTTCAGCTTTACATTTACTAAGAATTCTGAGTATGGTTCTGGAATCCATGTAGGCACTGCAAGCCTGGGTTTCTGACCACATGATCTTACCTGGCTTGCCATGGTTGAAACTGTCTTCTGCCTCCCTCAAACAGTATGGCTGCACAGGTTCAGATTATAGCACTCTTTCAGCTGAAAAAAATGTGGAGGAGGAAACAGATGAAGAATCTTATCCTTCAGATTAATTACTTTCAAGTATGTTCACCACACTACTTTTTACTGTTATTAATTCATAACTTAGAAATTAAGTTCTGCCTTGTCACTGCTCAAGTAAAGGAGGTAGAAAGGATATATGGTCACTGGGACTATGATTACAAGTTATTTTCACTGTCAAACTCATAACAGACCACACGATTTTTCCACTGCCCAAAGCACTAGCAAACTACCAACATCTTTTAAGTCACCCATAGCTGAAATACCTGTATGCCATAATCTGCCAATTCAGAAGATTTTAATATAGTTACAAACAAGGCAACGAAGAGAGGTTTCAGTATGTTTTGTACAACTCTCAAGGTTTCTTCCACTTATAGTTCAATTAAAAGTTGATTTATTTGTACCACAAACTACAGAGCTGAAAACAAACAATGATACTTTTTATATACTCAAAAATAGGAAAAATAAAAGCAGGATGAGAGCACAGAACAAACATGGTCTTTCTCTGCACCTTTTCTTAAGCATACCTTCTTTTACCTCTTTCATATACACATTTCACTCACTACCAGTAAGTTAACAACAATAAATGGCCTTTTACTGGTCTTATTAAACTAGTGGAGAGGTATGTATCATCATTCATTCCAGTATCCTTCCTTTAAGCTTTTTCCCCTAGTCATCCCACAAATTTAAGTCAGTGCAAAAAGCAGTTTCATTTCAAAATTATTTTGCATCTGCTTCCACACATCACTGTTGTTCCTTCTCCACTGCTGACTTCTTTTATATCCAGTGCTGCTAATTCTATGGAGATACTTGACTGCTGAAATTCTAATTGGCATTGCCAAGCAAGAACTGATGTACTGTTTTGCATGCTGGTTGATCAAATCCACATTCACATAATACAATAAACAGTGTTCATAATGCCTTAAAGGCTTTGCCCACAGAGGGGAACAGAGGCTAACCTGACTCGAGATAGCCCCAAAACGTAATTGGAGGATCTATGCATGCTGCTATGCAGAGTAACTATGGACTTGATCCCCACAGCCATTCTGAAGCCAAGGAAATAGTCTGGTACAAACAGGCCCTTAAATACAGGCATATATAGTAAGCTCAGCATATGCTAAATTAAGCATGTGCTTATTAAAACTGTGCTCATTACAAAGAATTATCAGCAGCAACTTCATGTTGAAGGTGGTCATTATAAATAAAAATATCCACATAGTGATGTTCCTCTAACTCAAACATCACTTTTTAAGAGAAGAGGAAGCTCAGGGGTGACCGTATCACGCTCTACAACTACCTGAATGTAGGCTGTAGCCTGGTGAGGATCAGTCTCTTCTCCCAGGCAACTAGTGACAGGATGAGAGGACATAGCCTCAAGCTGTGCCAGGGTAGGTTCAGGTTAGACATGAGGAGGAATTTCTTCAGAGAAAAGGTGATTAGACACTGGAATGGACTGCCCAGGGAGGTGGTGGAGTCACCGTTCCTGGAGGTGTTTAAGAATCAACTGGACTTGGTGCCATGGTCTAGTTGGCACGGTAGTGTTAGGTCATAGGTTGGACTTGATGATCTCAGAGGTCTTTTCCAACCTGATGGTTTGCGAATGACAAACTCCTCCACACTCTAAACACAGAAATACTAGTTTTGGAATTCATAGCTGCATAACAATTGAACAAACTTACCCTTTTCACCCAGGTGGATTCAAGATGGCAGGCCCTGCAGAGCAGGCTTGTTGCAAGAGGCTGTCAGAAGGCAAGTGATGCAACTGTCTTCTGATCAACTTCTATGCAGAGCTCTTTTTGCAATCTGCCCCCAGCTGATCTCGACTGTTGCCTCTCAATCACTTCACTGCAAGACAAAAGTATTTCAAAAGCAGTTAAAACACCATGTATTAACACAGGGGGTTTGGGGGTTTTTCTCCACATTTGCCTTTACTGTAGCTACAGTCCCAGCCAGGCTTTCATTTAAGCAGTGGAGCAGCTTCAACCTCCAGAATTCAAACGCCTCTTCAGCTGGATCACACACGCATTTTTTACCGGCCCACTCATTCCACGGCTCCTCCACCATTACGTCCGCACGGGCGAAAAACGTGGACGCAGCTATTCACGTCCAAACCCGCCCGAGTCACCACTC